GGTGGGGCCCTGCGAGCTGCTCTGGCCCCGGCGCTGGCCTGCCCTCTGCCCGCCGAGGCCGAGCGAGGCAAGAGGAGCTCAGTGGTGTGAGGTAGATGGCTTTGTTGTCGCCCTGCTCTCCTGAGGAAGGTGATTGCAAAACGCCGACTTTCACAAAAGAAACTCGCCCAGCTCAGTTGGCAGGATCGTGAATGGCCTTTAAAAGCAGGGCCTGGTCTTTACAGGTGGTTTTTGTGTTTTGAAAACCAGAAAGTGGAGCTGGCTTGAAGCAAGCAAGGCTGGGGAGGCTGCAGAGCACTGGCAGTGAGGGCCTGAGCTCTGCAAGTAGGCTTGTGAAGCAGGTAGGAAACAGTGTCATGCTTTAAAAACAGCTTCTCTCCCTTAGCTCAAGAAGAAATGTTTTGGGGCTCTTCAGCAGATAGCTAGTAACACATATGGTAGCCAACTCCCCTTTAACTAAGTTTGTTTTTTTTTTCTCCTCAAGGCCTACTGCAGCGTACTTACTAGTGCACTCAGAAGTTGCCTTTAAAACGTGAGGTACATGGTAACCTAGGAGCATGGTACACTATTTCTTAGTGTTGGTTGTTATTCTGTTAATCTACATGCTTGGGAAATGCAATGTGGTTCTTTAAAGCATGAATGTTCTCTTAAAATACTAAGAATTTGATTGTTTTAACACTTCAGAGTTTGTGTGAATGTTAATCATGTCTAATGGGTGGCTTTACTTCACAGAAACTTGTTAACTGAGTGTTCTAAAATTTTTTTTTTAATTCTGTGATTAAATTAAGTAAGCAGTTCTAAAGGATAAATGATTAAAAGTGAATTTACAGGTATCACTGTTATGGGCAGGTTGAGGTTGACTGAAGATTATTTTCCCTGTTCAGACAGAAATATGGTGGTACAGTTATGCTGCTGAAGTTCTGCCAGCAGATCCCTTATGGTCCTGTATCAACTCCTGTAATCTGCCTCTTCTGCGTGTCTCTGAAAAGTCAATGAAATCACTGGACTTTCCAAAAAGGATGGAGGAAAGGGGATTATAGTTTAATATGAAAGTCTGTTGCAGTTTCTAAAAGATCAAGCATTTTGCATCAAGTTTTAAGAATGGATTTTGGATACTTTTTTGTCTATTCTTTAAGAGTGTTGCTGGAAATAAGTTACGATTCCTTGTTAAGACTATTTTAATGGTGTTTTGCAAACGTTGTTAGCTAATAATCCAAACTGGAATTATGGTGGAGTTGCTATAATGTCACAGTTTCATTTTAAAAAAAAAAAAGTAGATTTGGCATTAAAGCCATTTATAGTATTGCCTATTGAAAGAAGGGAGAGAATATTTAATCTTGTATTTCTAAAAGCCTATTAAAAGTTTTAATTGATGTTGTTAACAAACTGTGAATGTGAATTTTAATATGGGCATGTATCAAGGATACTTTTGGGTCTCTACTTCCCCTCAGACTCTGGAAAGTAAGTATGGGACAACAGAAGGAAGTAGATACAGGGTAAATTGAGTGGGCCTGGGCATAGGAAAGTGGTGTGAGGAATGGAGGACTCTTAAAATTCTCCCATGCATTTCCAGTATGGACTTTTTCCTGCTCTGTTATTGCTCAGTTCTACTACTTGAAAAGACTTTTTGCAAGTGCTTAATAAGCATTGTTGTGTGGAAACTTGGACTCTAAATACATTTGCAGATGAATATTTCAGTGGTATTTTTCAAGTCTGAAGAAGTCTGTATTTTTTGTTAGGTACACTACTAAGTTAATTGGATCACACTTCTTTAATCAATGGATTTACAGCAGAGGATGAGTTTCTACTAGCATATTTAGTGGAAGTCAATCCTCAGATGCTATGGTGGGAAGGAAGGGGAAAGTAGTAGTTATTGCCACTGGCCTATACTTGAATATATGGTCATAAACTCAATGATCAGTGATGTGGAAAAAGCCAACCTTTTTGCTAGCATAAGCAGTCATTACAAGAGTTTTAGTTTATTGAGAAGTAAGCATGTACAGTTTTGACTCATTTAGGAGCCTAATCTCTGTAGGCTCCTTATAGTTAAATAGTGAAGAGACGTACTGCATCGCTTGCTGCAGGAGTCTCCGCATCTTTGTAGCTGAGGATGTATTACGTATGTGTAGCTTTGCATTGCAAGTATCACATGATGCATTCTGATGTCATTAATGTTGTCTGCATTATTCATGAAAAATACTAGACTTCAGAAAAAGTGAAGTAATACCAGAGCTGCACTTTTCGTAAGTCTTGTATTGTTAATTTGCTTTTTTCCTCATGATTACCACCAAAAGCTTCTAGCTTTTGGACAGAGATTATTCTTAGTAGGTGTCAAAGCACTTCATAAAGATTAAAAAAGGAAAAAAGGGTAACCAGTTCCTCCAGCTCACACAGCCTTCAGTCTGGATGCTTATTTATATATTGCCACCAAGTGGTCTTGAACAACTACTGGGTCTGTTATTTGGTGAGTGGGGCTAGTTGCCTAAACTATATCAGCATAAGAGTTTGTCTCCCCGCCCACCCACTTGTTTACGTGTCTAAAGTTACTGACTTCCTGTTGATTATCATAAGACTTTTTTCCTATCAGTTTCAGTGAATCAGATCCTTGGTGACCTTTTTTTTTTCAGTTATATTATAAGTATCTTGTTGTAGAAATACTCTAAAAGGGTTATTAGCACTTTTGACAGAGTGCAGAAGCCATTGTATTTCAGTGCAGCTACATGCCAGTTCTGTCTGAGCTGTCGATCAGCTTTCTGCAGTAAGAGCAGAAGAGAGGAGAACAAGATTGCAGTCTTGGCACTTCCACCGATTCTTCTGCTAGCTGCACTACTACAAGTCATGCTTTCCAATTTCCATGTCTATAAGCTAGAAGTAAAAACTGGGACCCACATCTTTGGGGTTTGTTTCTATTTGATTAAAAGTTACTTCACTAGTGAAGTTTGGTTGTGTCTTGTACAACCTTATCTCTCTTTTATTTGCTCTTTGAAGTAGAGCCAGGTCTTTTCAGTTAGGCGAAAGACTGAGATGGCAGCTGAAGGGATGCACTTATCTTAGGCCTCCATATGGAGGCATGTCAGATGCCAGCGTTGAAAGACCCACCCAAGCAAGTATATCTTCCTTCTGTATTGGGTTTATAAACCCTTTAATTGGTGTCCTTGGTCTGTGTCATGCTGTGAAGCTTAGCTTTGTCAGTTCAGCTGCTTTTTAGGCACTTAATACTATGAAAGGTAAGGGGAACAAGATCCACGCTGATTCATACTGGGATATGTTTAAGGAAAGAACTTTTAAAAGAATGTTGAGGAAAAGTGAAACTTGCAGACTTGTAATTTCTAATAGACTTTTTGTTTTGTCTCAGGTCTGTACTGAGGAAAACCTATTGCTTGAAATAAGTGTGACCTGTTATATGAATCAATCTTACTTACAACAGGGCGGCAGAGTGAATTCATCGTGTATTGTTGTAAGTCAGTGCTGCTTTTTTATTTAATGCCTTGGTACAGGAAGCACAAGCCTGCTGAGGGGAGCTCATTACGGAGCTGGCTTATATAACTTTGAGCAAGATCGCTTTGTGAGTAGTCCGATTGATTCTGAGCTGCTTGGTGAGTAAGCTGGCAAAATCTAACTATAGTAATTTGAACTGGGCGAGTAGAAACACTGTTCCAGATCCTGCCAAAGCCCAGCTTGATTGCAACTAATTTGTCATCTCCAGTGATGCATGGAGATATGTGATTGGTGACTGCTGCTGATGAAACATGACAGATCAATTCTAATCTCTTACTGGCGAAGGCAGTTATTCATGGGGACATGCATCTGTCTCTTACGATTTTATTCACAGCAAGGGTGCTGTAAAGCCATAGCAAAACTGCTGAGTATCACTGAACACTAGTATATCTAGATTTGTCAGACACTCTTAGCTAAACCCATTTAAAAACTACATTTAAAAGTAAATATTGTACACTAGTAATACAGGCACAGCCTTGTCCCTTAATGAAAATCTGCTACATCAAGTTCAGTCATCTTTTTTTCTGACGCTTTTCTGACCCTTTTATTCTCCCTTTGAATTTGCCGCTTGCATTGCAGAGGTATAATCTTTTTGACAGCGCTCCGCACAAGGGTAAGCGGTAGAAGACAATGTGTAATCAGCCTATTCTATTTCTTTGATACTCCTCAGCAGCCTTAAAGTTCTTTACAAAAGAGGGTATCTTATTGTACTATGTAAAGTGTTATACTTCAGTTCCAGGCATAGACTTCTTCTTTTCTTGTACCGTAAGAACTAGCTGTGAAAGCAAGAATTCAAATGTTAGAATAAGTCGTCTTAGTGTTATGGCTGAGTATTGTACATGAATGTCCTTCAGCACTTATGCATGTAATTTTTCTTGTGACCCATGAATGCAAAAATAACATTAAATGGAACAAAGCATAATGAAATGCTTGTATAGATTTTTGCCTTTGATCCAAAAAAGGGATACTCTGAGCAGCACTACTGATAATTTACCATGTGGGTGTTTGACAAGCCCACACATACCTCAGTACACAACTCTGCAGATGCATTCCTCAGTAATCTGTAACACCCCGATAATATTTTATTCATAAATCCTACTGAAGCTAATAAAATATCATAAACACAGCATTATGTTAATGCATGTTAATTTGAGGGGTTTTGGTTAGTCAGAAAAATTGTTCTAATTGGTGATCTTAATGTATAAGAGTAAACACTAATAAACACAAAATATCTACAGGATTAAAATTTCTGTTGATATGTACTAGTCCTTTTCTTTAGGAACAATAACTTTAGTTTTAATCTTTAAGAACTTTTTTCTCTACAAAACCGCAAAGAAATCAATTCATCTATTAATAAAATGCAGTAAAGAAGCGGGGAGAGGGGAATACTTTGTCATAACTCTGTTTAGGAATGAAGATATTGTGAAGATACCAATATACCTTCATCTAAGAAGACAGGGTTCTGCTCATATTGTCGAATGAGGGACAAATCTCTGGGAAATGTACTAGTGAGAAGGTGGGCAATGTATTAATGAGGAAGTGAAGAAATATCAAGTTGTTAAAACAAGTGAATGATCTAGAATAAAGTTAGTCTTAATAAGACGCATTTACTAAGATGACCCTCACTTTGTTCTCTAAAGCAGCTGTGAGGGAACTCTGCCACTTCTTGAGAGATTTGGTAAAAAGATGGAGTGTATACTTATTTGACTAAAACTGTACAGATGTGAACGAGATATGGGGTGGGGGACAACTGATAAAAGTGACAGATGGTGTTAGCTAAGATAACATCTTAGTGCACGTCTCTGATGTTAGAGATCAGAGTCTACACATGCTTATGTTGATTTGCTGGACTGTCAGCCCTGTTTGCAGCTCTTAGTGTCATTTTTGTGGTTGTCATGTTGCAGTTGATGGCTTTGTCCCAAGTGTATGCAATAAATTGTATATACGAGTACAAAGATCATGATTAGCAGTGGGGCTTGATTTCATCCCAAAGGCTTAATTCCAAAACACTGAACTGTGTAACCTCCAGTGCTTTCTAGCCAGAAGTGTTTTCTTTTGACTCTTCTGGAGGAGTTACTGAATCCTTTGCTCACCACAGAGCTTAAGCATGAGCTTGACTCTAAATGGGAGTGCTCAGATGCTTAAAGTGGATTTATCATAATTTGTTTAAAGAATTGGGCCTAATTGTTTATTTATCGAGCTCTTATTCTGTCTTATTTCCCTTCTTGCTGCTGAACACCAGTTGCAGGAGGTAGAGGGGAGGTCTTTTATCTCCTGTGGCTTTTTGGAGAAAGTGACAGTTCTGCAATTCTCTGCTCTGTTTCTTTGCACCAGAAAAGACCCTGCTGCTCTTTCACCAGCATTTCCTTTCATCCCTCTCCTGGCAGCTGTGTTTGCTCCATTTTGATATTGGAGCAGCAAATGAACTCCCTCTGAAGCAAATGTCATGCCAGCAAAGATCTTGAAACAGCAAGAAAATCATCTCTCTCTGAAGACTGAATTGGAGACCTTTGTGAATGAGAGACCTTCTTAAAATAGCTCCACAACTTATCTTCCCTAGAAAGTTGAGAATTGAAAGCACTGCCACATACCACTTATGTCTGTGCGGTATCCCTAAATAACGTTTTATGGAGTAGGAAGAGAAGGATAGGTTACTGTCTTTTCCTTCAAACTGAAATAGATACAATAAGTATAATATCCTAGCTCTTAATGTTTCTCCAACACTTCTTATTCAGTGGGTTTTTTTAATTTTTTTTTTTTGGTGGAGGGAAGGGAAGAAGAAGAGGTATGATATGTTGAATTTTCTAGATTTTTAGATTCTAGTAAAATAGAAAATACTACTGCTGTGGTGGTATTATTGGAAATACCATCTTTCAGAGACCTGACTTCTTGCTCTGGTTATCTTAGGGCTAGCTTTTGTTCTGGCATTGATTCCAGTGACAATATATTGAACAAAACAATTGAATTCATCTGAATTGATTGTATACTTCTGTGTATGCCTCTTGCTAAACATTTTGTTGGCAATATCATCACTAGTAGTCATGATTATCTCTTGTTCTGTGTTCAATTACACCAGTGCAAAGTGAGTGCAAAAAACTGCTATGTCAGAATAGATATATTATGACCCTATATTCCACAGATCTGATTTAGTGAAATACTGGGTAGGAGATTAAACTTCTAGGCCATTAAACTCTGTTTTGTTTCTTTTTTTTTTTTTGCTGTAGCAGTAAAATGATAACACAAAGTCCAACCTGTTCTTTTTTTATTTCAAGTTTAGATAGCTTCTTAGTGCTTTTTTGTGTAATGACTAATCTTTTCTAGTATAGTAGCTCAAACCCTTCACCCTTACCACGTCAGAGTTCTTGGAGTTGTATAATAGATCATATACATTCAGTATCAAAAAAGAACAGTGCATAATGGAAACAGTTAAAACCAAATAATTTTGAAACTGACATCTCTACAAGAAGCACACCTATCTGTTACAGCAGGGCAATCTGGAGAATGCAACTTAAATAGACCATTTTTCACTGAGCTACGGAGTAGTGATTATTTCTTGTCATCTTGTCAATCTTACTTTATTTGTCATGCAGAGTCAAGATACGAATGTATATGGGATCAAGACCTCTGGAAAGTAATAGAAAACAAACTTATCTCCTGATTCAGGACAACATTTTGCTCTATCTTCAGAATTGTACTGCAGTACACTAAGATCATGTAATGCCAAATAACTTAAGATTGTTGCATAGAAGATATGTTGTAGCTAATGTGACTTAGAGCCTGTGCTTATTAGATATCACAAATGTGAAGTTTTCATATTTACTCCAGACTTATATCTAGTATTTCTGATGGTAGGTTTTGGTCCCTAATGTTAGTTTGAAATGGACTTTATTAGGCCAAATCCTCTGTTCATGTAAGTTGGCATGGCTTCTTTCAAAATGACCTCCATGGGTTCTTTGTTTTTGGACTCTTTCAGAAGCAAGTTTCTTCAACTATGTTACAACAGAAATAGCTTAAAGATCAAGGTTTCTCTTTTTAAAAAAAAAAATTGCTTGCTTCATTTTATTTCTAAACAACAATGCAATTACATTAGTCAGTTTTCTTAGTCAGTTTCATCTCTGTACCAGATCACGGTAGCATGTGTGAAAATCTTGGAGAGATGTGTAAAAGTAGGTTCTTCCTTAGGCATCTCAAAACTTTTAGGACTTTTTCCTTCCCAAGAAGCCCCTTCTGTTCTTTGAAAACCAAAAAGAGATGACAAAAAACAGTTTGCAAATACTTACACCAAAGTATCTCTATTTACAGTACAGAAATTGACTAAAGTTAGTGGGCTTAATCATAAGCAAATCTTTTACTGTTTTAAATCTTTTCATTTCTTAGGCTAATAAGAACACTGTGTTAAAGGAAGGTTAATGTGAGTGGGCTCAAGGTAAGAACCAAGAGTCTTTGTCACCCTTCATTTAAATGGAATTACTTAATATTTATGTAGGGTTAGATAAGATCAGAATCAAGGAGTGCGTCTTCTGCATTAAACTTGGCCAAATAAGGTATTTTTTGTGTGTTACTGCCTCGTAACCATGAGTACCGTGTACAGAATAGCAGCTTTGGAGTCACCTTCTTCCTGAAGGGTTTGACTGATAATGAAGATAGCCTTCAGGTAGATCCAACAAATAAATATGGCTTGTTTCAGGAAGGGGTAGACGAAAACATTCAAACCAACTACTACTTTATGTATATACAGATACATCACTTGTAGTAATTTATTCTTGACATAATAGTAAGGTACTGTGCTTGCATGTTTCAATGTAATCATTAGGCACGCATAAGAAGGCTCATGAGGTAAAAATAATAACATATAGCATTAAAGAGGCTAGAATCATCTGTATGTATGGCAGATGCCCAAACTTGTAAGAACACTCTCCTAAAACCAGCATTATCTCGCACTAATGCAGTGATTTAGCA